ATTACCTCTGTTGTCACCAAAGATGGTGAAAGTGGTGATTTTTAATTGTGATGGGTGTTGAGATACCATTAGTTTAGAATTTACATCTGATTGGTGCCATAAGTGCTTAGATTTCATTACAGGTCAGGTGTTTTTTTCCTCTTAAAATCTTCTGTTATTAGAAACCAGTGCTGATAACCAAGTATGTCTCATTACCACATGATTCTATGGCAAAACTTCATCAGGCCAATGCATGCAATTTAATGATTGTGATATGTCAGTTTCCAAATGCTATACATTATAAGATTTCTGTTTTAAATTTGTCACACTATGAGAATGCCTATGCCAATGAGAATGTTATGCTGTATGCTAAACCATAGCCAATCTGAGTTCAGTGACACTTCATGGCATGCTTTAATGCTTCTCATTTTCAGGTATTGCTGCTATGAATAATATTACTGGAACCTGCATGATGATGTGTCCCCAAGCAGAGGTTAAGTGGTAAGTGGAGAATGCAGGCTTCCCCTGGTTTAAGTTTGGTGTCTCTGCTGTTTTTTTTTGATATGATCTTGATTCTATTTTGCTTATGCATTTATGGTTAGTGCTATGCTAAAGCCTAAGTGTCCAAAGTTGTGTCCAGTGATGTCATTATATCCAGTGAATGGTTTGTGAAGTCATGCCCTGCACTTTTGTGCACATATTGCCTGGATGTTTGTCATCTGCAGTGTTAATTTGCACCTTCAGCCATTAATAGGGGCCACTTGGTCCATGGAATGACACGCAGCATCGAACCTGTCACCAAGGGTAGATCCAGGACAGGGGAAGGGGGCAAAGATGCCATAACCCCTCTAAAGTCGCGAAATTAAGATTTGCGCCCTCCCCAATGCGGCCGGACTTGCGCTGTTGTGTGCCTGCACAGTTCTACTTCCAACACTAAATTGCGCAAGTTTCTCGTTTTGCTATCGTTGGGGCATGGTTGTGTCAACAGTCAACGTGTACCCGAAGCTTACGACGGTTGCGGGTCTAGTTCCAGTAGTTCATTTGCTGGCTGGATGGTTGTCTTGTGTATCACCACTGGAACATTTTCAAGAAGTAAATTGATCTGCTTTTCTTTTGGCTGGTTCCTCCAGTGACCACCTGCTCCCCACACGCAGCTGTTCCACGCGCGACACAGCGACCTGCGCCAAAGCCACCACCCCCGGGGTCCGTGACTGATATATGTGTATATATATGTATATATATATATATATTATATATACTATATATATATATATATATATATTATAGGGTGTACACGCCACTAGGTGTTCAATGGCTATCTGACCAAGAACGGTTCCCCTTCCCAAAGAAAAACAGCAAAAGTCTTGATCCCTCTCTGCCTGTCACCATGTTACATATCTTCACATCTGGGTTTTTCTGAGAGCTTCAAATTATATACCTACAGTTTTGTGATTGGTATACAGTGATACGACTACTGCACCACCTGGAAGGATGAAAAGTTATCAATTTACCGACGACGTTCGAAGCTCGAAGCTGTCAGCCATACTAACACTTTTTGAAAGAATTAGTCTGAACCTACGGACAGATGGGTTTGTGGTATCAGAGCCCATGCTAAGCGGTGCTTGTTGCTTGAGCCTTGACTTCAACGTCCAGTCGTGAAGTTATAGGTCAACTGCATAATTTGTTGGCGAAGAAGTCCAAATGCGCCGCAATTTCGGCATGGTCCGTCCTGCGCTTTGATGTCACGTGACGTATAGCATGGCGACTGTCACCGGCCGCAGGCTATCGTAGTTGGGAGGCAGTCGTTCCCAGCCATGGGCGGGTTAATGGGAATACAGGCCACCTAACCATCTGAGCTTTCGGACAAACACCGACACGTGAGCGGATACTGTGACTCGAGGAAACAGTGAGATACCCCCAACCCATCCACTGAACACGACATATATCTTGCCTCGGAAATCATACACAATCAAAATAGTGGGTTGGGTTGATAAGAACCAGGCTGGGTTAGCTTTGGTGGACCAGGCGTTTGGTACTTCATGGCGGTAGGAGTTCCCTGTGAAAGTGGAAAGGTTATTTTAATTCGGGGCATCTTATACCCTGCCATGGTCGCCACTCCTGCCACAGGCGTCAGCGGGAGCGGCTGATCCACCTGCTGGAGGCTGATGAGGCTTCAGTTCGCGGTGCGGGCCGGCAGACGGCGTGCCGACCCTGAGCGCATGGTCAAGAGTTTCCAGCGGTCGGCTGCAGGGCGGCGACTGTGTGAGCCGGCCGCCCTCCGACCGCCGGCCGTTCTGCTCCAGACCACCGACTACATACTGAACAGGTGTCTGAACAGGTGTCTGAACAGGTGTCTGCAACCGCTGTCCGGCTCCTCGCGCACTGGTAGATAGGCGGTGTTGCTGACAAGGAGCTGGCCTTCCGGCATGGAGACATTTCCACTTTGTTGTGTAAATGAATTTGCACATAATGCCGTAGTTACGTGCTCTCACCCCACACCAGTGTGGCTGCGAGCGAGTGTTTGGCTGTTCCGCGCGCCTTGTGGTGTGTTCCGTCTGACGTGGAGACGCTGACAGCCGCGTCGCCCCTCACTGAGCCCGCCGCCGCCGCCGTGCCGCCAGCGTGCTGCCACGGACGGACGCCAGCTGGCCGGCCGTGTACGGCTTCTGCCTGGACCGGCTGCGGGCGGGTGCGTCAGGACCTGACGGTGCAGCAGGCGCGCGGTCCGGCCGCGCTCGCCGTCCTCCGCCGCTGCGCCGTCTTCCATCTGTACGCGCCCGCTACCGGTGGGTACAGCTCGGAGATCGGCCACTCCGGCCCGAGTGGGCGCCACTCCGGCCGGTCCGGACGAAAGCCCGCCACTCCGGCCCGGTGGAGCATCCTTCGGCGCCTGCCGTACGGGGCTGTGCGGCACCACGATGCGTCAGTCAGGGGTAGCAGTGTCCGAAGGCGCTTTGCCCCCTTCCGTCAATGGGTGGAAGCCATGCGTGCTAAATGCAGACATTTTAGGTGTTTGGGGACATGTTGCATGATCTGCATCACTGTTACCACTGCATGTCGATGATGCCACATAGTTTAAGGTTCGCAAGATTGTTTCAATGCTGCTTCTGCATGTATGGGTTGTGAAATAAGACGTGACTGCCCTTTTCACCGCCCTTCCTGCTGCATCCGAATCTCTCCCGCTTTTACGGAAGTGGGCTGGACGTCGTGCCGTCATGGGTCATAGGTGCTCCGGTTCACGCGACCTCGTGTCTGGGGCCGCTCTCCGTGCAACCACGGGCGCCAGCCGCCCTGCCAGGCGGGATGGCGTCCCGGACGGCGCGCTCGGCAGCCCGGTGTCTCAGGCGGTCCGCTTCGTGCCTGCCACAGGTCGCGTCACTGTCCGGCGGACGCGTTCGACCGTCACACATCGACGGCCGGCAGCTGCGCGAGTGTGTGCTGGGCGTGCTGCTGCTGCAGGCGGCCGCGCCGGGCGGCGGCCCGCGTCCGATCGCCGAGCGCTTCGAGGCCGTCCACCTGCTGCTCAGTCTGGACGAGGGCGGCGCTGGCATGTGCCCGGCCTGGACCCGGCCTGAGACCAGGTGAGCGGGGAGGATTGGAGCGGAGACCGGGAGGGGGACGCGACGGAAGACCCGGGGAGGACGGGGCCCGAGACCAGGTGAGCGGGGAGGATTGGAGCGGAGACCGGGAGGGGACGCGACGGAAAACCCGGGGAGGACGGGGCCCGGGACCAGGCGAGCGGGGAGGACTGGAGCAGAGACCGGGAGGGGACGCGACGGGAAGACCCGGGGAGGGCGGGGCCCGAGACGAAGCGAACGGGGAGGACTGGAGCGGAGACCGAGAGGGGACGCGACGGAAGACCCGGGGAGGACGGGGCCTGAGACCTGGCGAAGCGGGGAGGACTGGAGCGGAGACCGGGAGGGGACGCGACGGAAGACCTGGGGAGGGCGGGGCCTGAGACCAGGTGAGGCGGGGACGAACTGGAGCCGAGACCGGGAGGTGACGCGACGGAAGACCCGGGGAGGACGGGGCCTGAGGACCAGGTGAGCGGGGACGACTGGAGCCGAGACCGGGAGGTGACGCGACGGAAGGACCCGGGGAGGACGGGGCCTGAGACCAGGTGAGCGGGACGACTGGAGCGGGAGACTGGGAGGGGACGGGACGGAAGACCCGGGGTGGACCTGGCCCGAGACCAGGTGAGCGGGGAGACTGGAGCGGAGACCGGGAGGGGACGCGACGGAAGACCCGGGGTGGACCCGGCCTGAGACCAGGTGAGCGGGGAGAGCTGGAGCGGAGACCGGGAGGGGATGGGACGGAAGAGCCGGGGGACGGGGCCCTAGACCGTGGTGGTGCGGGACCGGAAGCCAGGAGTGGGACGGGAAAAAAACGGGCAAAGCGGCGACATTGGAGCATGTGACGGAAGGTGACATGGTGGGGGAGGGGGGGGGGGGGGATTGCAGAAGCTAGGGAAGACATTACCAGAGTCCAGAATCTTCGTAAAACAAATTAGCGTGTCGGTTGTGAATATGCCTGCGTTCACCAGATTGTGGATACTTCATCCGACTGGTTTGTACGTATGCCCGCTGATGCCAAAAATGATGATGTTCTCCAGTCAGCCAACAGCGTGCACATGCTTATGGGGCTGAATCTCACGACATCGAAGTACATGGTTTTTTAATAGAGAATTTGCGCTGGTGTTCATGCGTTGTCAGCGCAGGTCGATTTTGCCTCAGGGATTTGAAGCTGGCGCTAGATTTTCGCCGCGCCTGGGAGTCGGGCAACTTTGTCCGAGCTTTTCGGTTGGTCCGCCAGATGTCACCGCTGCTGCAGCTGGCGGCTTACCAGCGGATCGCCGGCCTCAGGCAGTAAGTCGAACGCACGCGATCCTGGAGATGTCCCACGCCGTCTAGTTGGGTCACGCACGCGCACTGCACCACCCCTCAGAGATGGCGCGCACCGTCTAGTCGGGTGCACGCACGCGCACTGCACCACCCATCAGAGATGGCGCGCACCGTCTAGTCGGGTCGCGCACGTGCACTGCACCACCCCTCAGAGACGGCGCGCACCGTCTAGTCAGGTCGTGCACGCGCACTACACCACCCCTCAGAGACGGCGCGCGCCGTCCAGTAAAGTCACGCGCTCGCACTGGACGGCGCGCACTGTCCAGTCGATACAGTGATTGTTTATGTCTGTCCAATGGCACAAGCTGCAAGTATACAAGCTCTGCGTTTGTGCTGATAGTTCTTCTCATTCGCCTTGACTTTTGTGACGAGCGCGTCTTGCGTTATCCTGTATTCTTACTTCTGGATGCAAACCACATAATTGGAAAAGAAGATGTTGGTTAAAAGATGTGGGATTAAACCAAAGAGCCCGTTGACAGATGTACTTCAAGGCTAAATTAAATGCATCAATAAAAATGTATTCAGTCAGGAGACTGTTACCAATTTTACATCCTGAACTTCAATGGTTTTTGCATCTGTTGTAAAAAATTATTTTTATAAGTTTTGATAACCTTACTGATATCCCTGCGCTATGTATCTTGCATCGCTTTGGTAAACTAACAACTTACCCCAGGGTGTTGTAAGCAAATTGCTCATTCAGTGTATTGGCCTTAAGGAGGTTGCTTTTTAAGGTGGGTGGGATGTGGCTGTCAGGTTATCATGTGTCGCCTGTCATGTGCCAGTTATGTCAGAGGGAGGAGGCACACCCTTAGACATAGTTTGCTGTGCGATTCAAAGGGTTGGTTGAGCAGCACCTTCATTCACTGGCCCTGTCATGATGCTCTCGTTTTCCTTGGTGCGTTCGTCTTGTCCAAGAACTCTTGAAATGTTGCAGCTTTAAATGCATTTTTGAACTGAGAAATATTGCGGAACAGAAGGTTGAACAGGTAATTAATCCATCGTCTTTTTTATATGCTCTTTCCGTTTTCCGTCGTGCAGTCGTCTTGTCAAGAAGCCTTTGAAATGTTGCAACCGGCGGCATACACGCTTTCGCAACCATGCCCTTGTAATGCCCGAAGCGCTAGTCCCTGAACGTAGTCAGTCCGAGCGTGTTTATTTTGGGTTTCTCTCGACCGTGCCATCACCAGCGATAACGTCGGAGAGGCGATAGGGCTTCCGATCGGCGGTGGCTGTCACGGGCGCAGCGCACCCTCGGACTCAGCCGGTTTTTTATGCGCTCGTGTTTGACCAATGCACAACATGTTCAGTCAGTCAGCAAGTGAGAGCGCTCAACTCCAAAGAACAAGACCGTCGGCCTGTACCGCTTACTAGTTATGACGAGTGACAGTTGGTGACAGCAGCATCAGAGCAGGGTTTTTTATTTGTAAGCGTGCCTAGTGTAACGGTATGTTGTCCTTTCCTGATCGTCCTTGGACGCGTAACATCCTTTTTTATGTCGCGCTCAGGCTACGTAATAATACGTGACGTCTTCAGCGAGCGGTCACTGGTGGAACAGGGCTACAGCCTAGAGTTCATGTCTGGCAGTGATTGTTTAGTGTGTTAGGCAGCGATTATTCAGTGCTTTAGACAGCGAAGGTTCAGTGCATTAGGCAGCGAAGGTTCAGTGCGTTATGCAGCGAAGATTCAGTGCTTTAGATAGCGATGGTTCAGTGCGTTAGGTAGTGAAGGTTCAGTGTGTTATGCAGCAAAGATTCAGTGCTATAGACAGCGGCGCCACCGTAGTGTTCCGTCCGACGTATGCAGATGTGTTGTGTGCGGTGGTTTAGAGAAGGCTGCCACCCGTCGGTCCCGTCCCTCCGATCACTGGCCGTCTCCACCCGTCTGTAGATAACTCAAAGGTCTCCTAGCTGCAAGATGTCACATCACAGTCATCATTGTCATCATCCGAATGGGTTGGCATGATCTAAGTTGTACCAAAAAGGGCGGAAAACACGATTTTGTTGTATCAGAACCTATGCAGTGTTAAGTGTCATGCCTAGCATACACGTACAGTTCGTCAATGCAAATCTAGGGTGGTCTCATGTAACCAGTAAACTCAAGGAGGGCACAACGTTGGTTGCTATTGGTTTATTAATGTCAATAACATTCATTAACGGAACTTAAAGACTTCACCGCTGTTTCCTTCTTTTCTCGCCGTCAAGATTGGTTTCACCCGTTCACATTGAGGAATGCCGCATTGTGCTGGCGATTCAGCATCCCCAGCTCTCAGGGCGTGCTGCTGGAACATGTATATCCAGTATGGAGAAGCCGCGCATCCAGGAAACGCTCAAACTTCCCCAGTGTTGTCAGCATCCACAGCCTTTTGCAGTATGTGATCTCAATTCGGTTGTGGCGTCACTGGCTTGGCTTTTCAGTGTGTGGTTGTCGTCGCTTTGCAGGCGCTGCGGTTGCGCTCGTCACTGTTCGCTTACTAGGCGCGTGCTTATCGCGCGCTTTCTCTGCGATTGTGGGCCTGCCGCGCCGCCCCGTCACCGGCCGTGGTGCCTCATGCCGCCCCGTCACCGGACGTGGTGCCTCATGCCGCCCCTGCCCACCTCTGTGTTGCCTCATGATAGGCGGGGGCACCTGTCGACCTCTTTGCTGCCTCATGAGCGGCGGGGCACCTGTCGACCTCTGTGCTGCCTCATGAGCGGCGGGGAACCTGTCGACCTCTGTGCTGCCCCATGAGCGGCGGGGGCCCCTAACTGTATGCGGGGGGGGGGGGGGGGTACCGGGGAGAAATAACTGCAATTATCTCTTATCTTATGTTTTTGCATTCCTTTCAATCGTATGCAACGTGCGTGTTTCCATCTTGCGATTGATCAACGACTGTGCTGGACACCAGCAGTGCATGAGCGCCACTCACTCTTTTCATAAATCAGTTAAGAAACCCTGGAGTGTTTGGAAGATGCAGCAAATGGTAGACTTCAACGCCTGAAGAAATTTTGCCCTGGACCTCGACGTCGCTGTGGCTTAAGCAGTTGCAAGATCTGTACATGTTGTTAGAAAATGTGCTCATATAAAACGGCACAGCGTCTTGCATTTGCGAATAAATTGCAAAACGGAACGTTTTCAATCTCACCCACGACGCACCTACGCGTGCTTCATCTACCAGCATGAAGTCAGTAGCATTGGGTCATGTGGAAAACATCTTTTTTTGTACGAAGCCGAGTTTTGTCTCATTTCTATTGTAAACTTTGTAGGGAAGTGTTGTTCTGCTATCACACCTGGGATGAGGTTTTCACAACGGAAGTGAGGAATGCGTCACATATTCATGGAAATGCCATTTTGTTTTTTTCAAAAGCTTGTTAAAGTTTTCACTGATGCTTGTTGTGAATATGCCAGAATAAGCGTTATTCTGAACGCGCCCTCGTGATCTTCGATCTGCAGGCTTGGGACTCACCTTTCAGCCTGTGCCGCTTCCAGCTCGCGCTGCTTTCATTATGGTTTCTGAGTGAGCGGGTGGAGGGAGGGGAACTTCAATGTTCGCAACAGTCAGTTGTGTGCTTTATTGTGCCATGCGCAATTTGTTTGAAGTTTTGGTTTCTGTTTTGACAGTATTTATCGGCTGGGCCCTGTGCCACATATGTGCCTTGATTAGGCCAGGAGCTTTTTTGCGAAACCGTACGGCCTCTCTGTACTCCCTTTTCTTGAAACTGGGCCAGCTAAGTTTTTATTCTAGTCGCCTGGCCCGAAATTCTGAAAACTCACTACAGCATGTGGCACGTTAGTCGATTCATGCATTGTGCTCGACGGCTGGTGGTCAGTTGTGTGTGCTAACCATGGGCTGTCGAGGCTGTGGCGGAACAGTAATGCGTGCACACATGCTCTTGTGCCTTAGCCGCATTTTTCCCGCGTCGCCATGGTCTAGGCTGCTGAGCGCCCTCACGGTTGAATATCCGCCGCGCTCGTTTGTGGACATGTGTGATGTTCTGGGTGGCTATTTGTCACGATTAGCTGGGTTTTGCGCCTGTGTCAGTGGCACGGCCGCTTGCGCCGCGGCCACGGCCCAGCTTGCGTGGCTCGTGGCCAGTTTGTTGCATTGTCCCATGTTAAACCAATTGGGCACGTTCGCACGGGCGCCCCGCCGGTCAAATCCGGCCCCACATGTAAAACAGTGATGCGCCCCTGGTGGCCTGCCTGCGCGGGAAATGTCGCGTGGTCAGTTCGCATTGGAGCCGAGTCATAAATGCATTGTGCGGGACAGGCATTTCGCATAGGAAAGGCCCTGAAAATGTCTGCGGTGGTCTTCGTGCCTGTGAGAAGCGGTGCAGGCTCTCATGAGCCGATTCAAACTAAGCGTATGATCAGAGTATCCGCGCCGTCGGAAGTAATCTCTGGCAGTTAATTCATCAAGTTTGCGAACGTTGAGTCATTGAACCTTACGTTGGTAGTAATGTGAACGCGTCGTTCGCTAAGCATTCGGGGCCTTTACGCTCCATTTAGCTCCACGATTCTTTTTTCGTGTCGTGCTCACATGTGCCGGTAGGGTGCCAGGATTATCAGGTCTTGACTACGATAGAGCCAATACGGGTCTCTGTGTTATCGGGCCGTTGGCCCAGACAGGACGCCGAACGGCACGATATGGTATCGGAGGTTGAGATAGCGAGCTGGCGGCCAGCGCGCGCTGCGGCCGAGACAGGGACCGGCCACGCTAGGGCCTCAGGTGAGGTGCATCTGTAGACTTGTGACCGAGCTGAGAGGTTTGTCTCAACCTGGTTTAGGCGATACTTGGCTTGCGCTTCATATGCTTTGATTTGGTTGGATTTCGGGACTTCGAGCAAAACGACCAACCGATTCGATAGACATTTCATTAAGCCATTCTTCCACGCCCAAATTCGTTTTATAACAACAGGGATGTAGAATTACAATGAGGGCCAAGAAAAACACCACGCACGATACATAACTTGCGTGTTTATCAGCACTCCCTGTCTTTCACTAAAAAAAAACTCAAACTTCTGAACGGTAACCATAGTCACGCGGCGGCCTTGCGCTGGTTACAGGTCATGGCGCTTACCCAAGAAGACGCTGCTTATGGCAAAAGCGTAAAAGGCTGAAGTTCGTACCTACATAAAATATACATGAGAGACAAGCACGTCGAAGGCAGAAAGCTTTTGCATTATAGAAGAGCGAAGTACAGTTTTCGATGTGCAAGCTTTAAAGTAACGAGGGAAGATGTCATAAATGCGATGTGGCATGACCTACTCATCCAGTCCTTGTCACGGCACCGTCTTGTCGGGAGCAGAACTCACGACCTCTGCCACATGGGAGGCATGTCAGGGCCTGTAGGTACTGTTAGGTACCACCCAAGGTACCACCCAAGCCTATAGGTACCACCCAAGCATGGGGATGAGGCCAGTCTGCTGGATTCGAAGCCAAATTCAAAGCCAAGACAATGCCACGAAGCCGAAGTTGAAACCGAAGCCGATGGCTTCGAAGCTGGGAACTGCGAAGCTGAAGTCAAAGCCAGTAGCTTCGGACTGCAGATGCAATACAAAGGCCGAAGTCAGCGACCTCGAATTAGGAAACGCGAGGCCAAAGCCAAGCCTGTAAGCTTGAAACCAGAGGGCCAAGTAGCAAGCACAATCTAGTGTAGAACGTTCCAAAGACCATTCACGCATCATCTTAAACTGCTGTGAATGGCGCCCATATTTGAGCTGGTGTGACGGGCAGACATTCACCGCGCTTGCCTGCGGCACTGCCTGACAGCTGTTACCCGACTGGACTCTGGTGGCGCTGACTGGTGTCCCAGTATTGCCAGTGTTTCGTGCCAGCGGACGGCCGGCCGGCCGGCTCGATAGGCGGTGGCTCGGTCGCCTGCAGTGGCCTCAGGTCGCCGCAGATAACGCCTGTTTGCGTTCCTGGTCACCGCCGGTGAATCAGAGATTGCGGCCGGCCGGTGCGCTTGCCACCGACAGCACGTGGGTGCAGGGCGTGGCAGCACCGCCGACGTGGCCGCTCGGGACGACAGAGACCAACAACGAGCCGCCGCCGCTGGCCGTGTCCGGCTGCTGGGACCAGCACGGATCCGCCAGTGACACGGGCTCGCGTGTCTGGCCTTGTCGCGCGACACGGTTTAGCGCCTATCGCTGTTTTTGCCAACGGAGGCTTTTCACAAGCGAAAGGCGATGTGGTGAGCGGTCACGGAAAGTACGATCGGAACTAGGGAAGTGGGAGACCATGGTGATGCCAGCAGTGACGATGTCATATTCCTGGTAGTCAGGTGTTGACGTTATGATTCGGGCTTGGGTTTGGTTTCCAGGCAGTGTTTGCGTTCCCGACCGGAGTTCCGTTGTTGCATCCCGAACACCGTGGTAGAAATATTGGGGATGAGGGCGTGGGTAGCAGGGGAAACAGGCATGTCAGCCCTGAGGCCAGTTAGTTGTAGATACACATCAGCGTGGCTGACTCCTGTCCTTAAACCGACGTGGCTGTGACAATACTTTCTGCCATGGGCTATCAACCTCCAGCATTCCGTCTTTTTAAGCGGACATCTGGGTTGACGGTTAATGCCTGCGGCAAAAGTCGGCTCACATCCGGCCATTTTGGTCCGTTCTCTGCACCGGGCTGCCGATTGTCGTCTCATCGTCACGTCCCTCCGTGAGGTCCTGAGCGGGCCGTTGACTTGAACGCGGAAGCCCCCGTGCTCCCAACAGTCCCGGTGGCCGCTGACTTGGACGCGGAAGCACCTGTGCTCCGCCTAACAGCCCTGGTGGCCGCTGACCTGGACGCGGAAGCCCCTGTGCTCCCAACAGTCCCGGTGGCCGCTGACCTGGACGCGGAAGCACTTGTGCTCCGCCTAACAGTCCTGGTGGCCGCTGACCTGGACGCGGAAGCCCCTGTGCTCCGTCTAACAGTCCTGGTGGCCGTGCAGTCCCTTCCGCTGGCGGTTATTCAGAAACTGGAGAGGAACCGTCGACCGGGCGCGTCTCTGTTCTGTGGTTTGTGACCCTTGATAGCCCCCCCCCCCCCCCCTGCTGTGATGCGTGGCCCTTCCAGCGTCATGCAGCGTTCGGTTGTGTCGTGACCTGTCATATTGTGACCTGTGGCTGCCGGGTGCGCCTCTTGCTGGGACCCTTGGTAGGCGCTCCTTTGCTATAATGCGTGGCCCATTCAGTGTCATCCAGCGCTCGGTCGTGCTATGACCTGTGGCCACTGGGCACGCCTTCCCTTTGTGACCTGACCGGTGCCCTCCGGTCGGGAGCTTCCGCATTGACGAACCCGGTCCCCAGACGCGCGCTATCGACGCTGGCGGCGGCGTACGGTGGCGCCGCGCGCACCCTCCCATCCGCTGTCATCGCCGGCTGGCTGGGCTACGATAACACCACTGATGTGACCGCGGACGTGACGCCGTGGGGCAGCGTGACGTTGGACGGCGGCGTTCGACTCGACCGGAAGCGGGCCTCGGCCGGAGCGACGGTGAGACGTCCGTATCCACGTCGGGCAGGTGGACATCTGTCAGCTGCGACTAGCTGCTGAGGAGCCGACCAACAGTGTGAAACGAATGCGTGCGTGCGTGCGCGCGCGTGTGTGCGTGCAGCTCAGCCGTGTGATTTGCGTTGGTCCGGGCCTGTGTGTCGGCCTTGTAACCATCTGGCCAGCCGACTGAGGACCGGGACTGAGGCCGACTGCAGACCTGTCGTCCGGGGTGCCCGTCGCTTGTGTCGGTGTCGATGTGTGAGTCGCGTCCGTGGCCGACAGGTGCCGGAGAGAGCCTGTGTCTACCTAGACACGGTGTTTGGTGACCCGGCGCGCCTCCTGGCCGCGTGCCAGGTCAGCTCTGAGGAGCGGGCGTGACACCGGTCGCGCCGCGCCGGCCACTCATCGGAGGACGCGGCGCCCACTGCGCATCTGCCAGCTGCGCTGCGTGCTCACCTGCGGCACAGCCAGTCTGTCCTCCCAGGCTCTGCGACCCTCGTGCAATAGAATTGGCTGTGAGCATAGACATGATCAGCCTGGAGCGAACATGTGACCCGTTTTTATTTTTTTAACACGGTCGGTTGGGGGGGGGGGTCAAATTGACCCACAGAAGGTTTTTCCAGGATGGTTTCCGAACGGCGCGGCGTGGCCGCGCACAATTTTGCATAGCAGTAGACAATTGAAAAGCGGATCGTTTGATATTACAAAATTTAGATGTGCCTGGTAAGGTCGCTGACCTATGGCAGGTCAAAGTCAGGCCATGGTTTCAGCGAAGACAATTCCTAGGGAATCGTTCAATCTGATACAACGAGTGTTTGGCGAAGCCATACATCTCTGAGATGCTTTCTTAGGCGCTAAAAATATTGAATGAGTAAATTACGTTGACCGAAGGTCAGATATAAAGGTCAGACCAAGGGCAAAACCAACGGATTTATTACTCTAGGGCTTACTGTATGTGATATTTTCTGGTGCTCATTTCGAATTTATTTGCAGGCAGGAATCGCATGATATACCTTCCATTGACTTTTTAGAGGTCAGAACAGGTCATTGACCTAGGATGACCCGAGCCGACATTTTGTTTTAGAAACATACTGCCTAGCGTAATCTTTGTCGCTTATTCAAATGCAAAACTCAGAGCAGTCTTGCAATATTTTGGTCACTATGACCCTCAAAAGGACAAGCAAGGTCACTGCCCTAAAACAGGCTTGTGGACCTTTTGCTTAGAAAGAGTTGCCTAGGTTGTGGGGCACTTAGGAGACCAACCTAGAATTCGACCTTGTTTGACATTATTTGACCTGAAGGTTATGACCTAGGAAGCTCAAACTTTGACCTAAGTGAGTTCACGTACAGGTCAACACACCCTGCGAATTTGGTCTTTAGCTATCTTAGTTCCTGAGATTTCAGGGGTCATATTTACCCCCCCCCCCCCCCCATCCGAGCGAAGGGTATCTAGCCGGCCACCCGGGCGCGTGTTAACATGAGTCGGTGCATGCACTGCGAGATGATTCTTGCGGCGTGCCGCAGTGCGCGTGTTTGGGAGATTCTCCTGTTCGTGTCGTACTGTGTGCCTATGGCTTGCATTGTCGTGTGAGCGGAGTTCGTGACCGCTGCGGTGTGTTCAGCCGAGGTATGCCGTATGTATGCCGAGGTCCTCGCCGCCGGTGCCGCAGGTGCCGCCGCTGTGTCTGGACACTGTTGGCTGGAAGTGACGCGTACAGGAGTCGTGTGACGGCGATGCGGACGACTTTAACCGCCCAGATTGAGCGTTGGGTCCCTAATAAGCCCGAACGTGCCCCACTGGATGTGGAGTGCAATCCAGCATGTGGATATTACTATGTGGTGTGCACGCCCATTCGAGCCTGGGGCATGCGGCTGGCCGAAGTGCCTGAGGGTGTTGTGGTGGTCAGCTGCGCCTCAGATGTACTAGGCGTGCCTGCTGGACGGGTCAGGCGTCTCTGCGGGACCGGATGTTGAGCTCTAAACGACGTTTGGGGTAAGGTTATGAGGTGCCAACATTTGAACTTTGTAAAAGGCGTCAGAAAGTCCGTTGGTGTAGTGGCCGCCCGCATCTGACATCGTCCTCTCGCTTAAAAGCGAGAATGGAGTAACTTGTGAAATACAGAAGCTCTGTGACAAGCTCTTGTTGCTCTTGAAGTGTGCAGCGGCTCGTACTAGCAGCAAGACGCGTGGTGCGGATTGGGACGAGCAAGGCGGTGACAGTTTTGAGCTCAGCTGTTATGAAGATGATCCCATAAACTTAACTAGCTTTTGGAGCCAGGCACTTACAGCAAACGACACCGGGTTTAGTCAGTGCGTTGCAAAGCCCACGTTTTGTGGGAATCCAGCAAGAAGAGGTCCACAAAACGCGACATGCGACTCGAGATGTCCAAGTGCAGTGCTAGAAAGGCCAAAGATCACATGAACCTGTGGTCACTAGTTAGAAAATCTCTTGGGATTGACCGTTTTCTGAGAGTTTTGACTCACCATGCTTGCAGCCCCGTCCGTGAAAACGTTTGAACTTAATCTGTGTGTCCGTGGCTGCTTTATTTCCTGACGATGCCATCGTGACTAAAGATGGTCCGCTTTTTTACAAAACGGCACTCGAGTCGCCAGCGCCATTACGAAAAACCACGCTGATGATTGAGCGCACAGGAACTAAAAAGTGACCGCAATCTGTCCTCCCTGTCTTCCGGTTGACGTATTTTACATCTGACGCGCCTGATGACTGTTGACAGAGGCACGCCAGTCAGTGTTGAGCACACGATGAGCTGTCGAGCGTGCGTTCCCGCCCCGCCGGTGGTGACGCGCCCCGGAGTCCGGTCCGGCTCCTGACCGCTGCGCCGCTTGCCCGCCGGGCGAGGCAGGGGGCGCCGGTGTGGGTGCGCGGGCGACGATAAGATAGCACCGTATCCGACGACTGGCGCGATCGCAGGCTCGCTCACTCTGAACCCGGTCGGCTGCGACTCGGTGGGAGCAGTTCGTCCGCGTCCGGCAGCCGGCAGTTGGCGAGCGGGCCGAGATGCGTCTGACAGTGGCCGTGGTGACGCTGCTGGCGGCGGCCGCCGCCTTTGACGTGGAGGACCTGCCTCCGATCGACACCATAGCGGACCAAATCAACTCCGGCCAGGTGCCAGCCGAGCGTGTGGCGGAGATGGCGCGCGACGGCCAGGTACCGATCGAGTACATGATGGATGTCAAGCACAGCCTGACGCCCGAGGCCAAGCGGCGCGTGGCTGAGGCCATGCACCGCCACAGCACGCCGGCCCCGCCGCCGCCAGTGCCCCAGGAGGCCGGCGACGACGAATACGAGTACTACGAGGAGGAGCCGGAGGAGCCGGAGCTGGAGCCGGAGTCGGAGCCAGAGCCGGAGCAACCTGAAGTGGAGCCGAGCCGGGGCGAGCCGGCCACCTATCTGGAGCCGGAGGAGGCACCGGCCGAACCCCGGCTGCGGGCTGGCCAAGCGACGGCCGGAGATGGCCGCCTTCGGGAGGACGGCACCGGCGGCGGCGGCGGCGGCAGTTCCGACGGTAGGTTGGACTCACGTAGCTCTCCTCCGTACTGGTGGGAGCTTGCGGCGGGACACGTCCTGCAGCCTTGTCATTTGGTGGGGTGTGGGCTGCGGCGGGACACGCCCGGCAGCCCTGTCATCTGGTGGGGGGGGGGGGGCTGCGGCGGGACACGTCCGACAGCCTTGTCATCTGGTGGGGTGTGGGCTGCGGCGGGACACGCCCGACAGCCCCGTCATCTGGTGGTGGGCGGGGGAGTTGTGGCGGGACACGCCCGACAGCCCCGTCATCTGGTGGTGGGCGGGCGAGTTGTGGCGGGACATCTAAGCATTGTTTCCCGACACAGTTTGTCATGAGCCCCCCAGATGCATTTGCCCTCGCCCCGATTCGCCGCTTTTCTTCACGCAGACTGATAAGGGAAAGGGTGCGATCCTTTGTCGTTTCCACACTAACCAAGAAGGAGCTTAGCAGAAGATATCATTAGATTGTTTTTTACCGGAGAGGTACCTTCAATAGACCTTACGGGGATTCATCGCCCCTCCCCCCATTAGGGCAGAGGTAAAGAGGACGTGGCGCTACGGGTCCGGCGTGGTGCTGTCCACCCGGTCCTGGCCCGGCAGTCTCACCGGCCTGGTCTGACCGTGCCTCGGCCCCGCAGGTGGCGTCATTCCTGTGCCCCGTCCGGGTGATGTCATCGATGACGTCAGCGCGCTGAGGATCCTCGGCTTCTACTCCAGACAGGAGTCGCAGGTGTGCACCGGACGCTTCCAGAATCTGTACAACTTCTACACAGCCGACCGGACGCTGGGACCCACCAAGGTAGGTCGAGTACTGCGGACATCGAGTGGGCAGGTGCCCCATACTCACCCCGCGATCATGGCTCGGAGTTTTAGCTCTCGGTAGCTTTGGTTTCAGCCACCCACCAGCGCGAGGGCTGGGATCGATGGAGTCACCTCGAATCGTGGACCTTCGTCGATTCCACGTCCAAAACACTACGACACAAATTTAAAAAGAGGTCGGCAGTCCCATTTGTCGTCAAGGATGCTCCGATGCGTGTGCAGAACGTCTGCTTACGACACGGTCATGTTTTTCCACCTGCCAGAACGGAGCACACAACGTCGAGTCATGTTTGTACCGTCCCGACGCAGCCTTCGTCTTCCCACAGAACAGGATTGGTCCAAGTTAAAGCATGCAACACTTCCTACAACATTTGTTTGCAACGGGAAGCAATGAGTCGTCTGGGATCGTCCCATGAATTGCATGATCTTGAACTTACCACAGGAATGTACGTCAGTGCTGTTGGTGTACTGTAGAAGTTGCATTTCTATTACTTTGAGCATGTTTCAAGACTTAACTCAACTCAACTTAACTGACTTTTAATAAGACACGCTTATGATGCCGTGCCTATGGCACGACACTGCCAGTCATGCTCATGACATACAACTTAGCACCCTCAGAACTGCCTGACAGCAGGATGTGGCGTAGGAAATACGAAGTAGGCCATGCGGAGCTCTAGTTTCCTTTTTTATCCCTTGGGAAGTGAGGTCCTATCGAAGCGAACTGGCCTGGTGAAAAGTGCTAATTTTGGATGTTTTTCGTGTACACTCTTATCAGGTCTCAGTTTCATGACGATGTGCCGAAAAGTTCGATATGTTTTTTGAAAGACCTGCTGGAAAGGGGTCGGTAGTTACCAGGCTGTATCATCATGGAAGTTTTTTTCAAAGGTAGCGCGACGCGCGTGGTCGTGCATCTCCTTACGTGGCACCCACGACTGAAGTGGCCATCTCGCCCAGATCCTAAGGCGTACCACCCTCCACATGATTTGAACAAGTGTCACAGTGACCATATTGCCTAAATCCCTATGTGCTTTGTCCCTCCCCTTCCCCCCATATAATTTGAACAAGCCCAACGCGGGAGCTGTTGCACCGCCCACTGCACCTTCCTTCAAGGAAGTGTTCCAAGTTTGTAGGGGGGCTTGAACTGACATAGTTATTTTGAGGATAATTCGGTGCACTTCACAGCCCTACCTTTCTTTGCACCTCAACTCTTCTGGATTCTGAGCTACACTCCCACAAAGATGTGCAGACTTTTCGAGGAAGCTGTTCCAAGGTCATCCAGGAATTCATGATGCCATCATGTCATTCAAATCTTGCCATTCCATTGGTCATGCGGCGATCAAGACCTAGAAAAATAGCATTGTCAATTCGTTCATATCGGACATTTTGAGCAGGGTTTCCAGATACAACGACCGTTAATTGACTCTACATCAACGTTGTGCAAAATACGATGACTTCATAAAACAATGACGTAATAAAAAGTATATTCACTAAGCGGAGAAAGTTTATTGCTTAGTGCAGGATTTTCCACTTAAAAGCATACTAGCAGTTATAAGTGAGCCTATTTCATCAGATCTGATGCTTGCTTCAATATCTTCAAGTGTGAAACATTCCTTTGGAACAGTGCTTGTTCCTGCTTGCCAAAGCCACTCCAGCCGCATGAAGATCATGCCATACTGACGGAGCTAGACTAGCATCATGCCATACCGGCGCAGCGGGACTGACATCTAGCTATACCGGCGCAGCGAGACCAACATCCAGCTATACTGGCGCAGCGAGACTGACATCTAGCTATACCAGCGCATCGAGGCCGACATCATGTCATACTGGCGCAGTGAGACTGGCATCTAGCCATACCGGCGCAGCGAGACTGACATCCAGCTATGCCGGCGCAACGAGACTGACACCGTGTCATACCGGCGCAGCGAGACTGACATCCAGTTACACTGGAGCAACGAGACTGATATCATGCCATACCGGCGCAGCGAGAATGACATCTAGCTGTAACGGTGTAGCGAGACTGACATCTAGGTATAGCGTCGCAGCGAGACTGACATTTAGCTATACCGGTGCAGCGAGATTGATATCATGCCATACCTGCGCAGCAAAATTGACATCATGCCATACCGGCGCAGCGAGACTGACATGCGAGACTGATGCCGATAAACACGTCTGGTGGGGAAGTGGGCTACAATCAGAAGGTTAAAGTCATCGCCGTCTGAACGTTGGCCGAGCAAGAGCGGATTACCCTGCTGGCGGAGGCCTGTTCTAGCTACCCGCGTCTCGCCTGGAGCACGACATAACTCTGCCCAGGCCAAGCCTCTGCAGTAGCCTGGGCGTGCCAGTCATTGCTCCCCCGGCAAGATTGTCTCAGTCTAACGCCAGGAATCGAAATCGCTGGCAGCCGTCGTTGGAATGACGCCAACTCCTTCCAGGCTAGGAAAGATCTTGAGCCGTAATTTCAGCCTTGATCTCACTCCGTTTGCAAATGTCTGGTGTTTCTTTCAAGTATTTCAAGATTTCGAGAAAACTAGCACTACACATCAAACCGAACGTGTCTGATATAACAATAAGTAATGTAACAATAAGTAATGATATAACAATAAGTAATAAAATTTGTTCCTCCAATTGCTCTGGTGTCTAAGAAACTGTCTCAAAGCTGTATAACTTCGTCTAAAACTCCGTTATCGCATCAGATTAAACGATTCCCTAGACATTGTCAAACAGACACTTCCTGTTATTTCAAGAGCTACGCATGCTACAACAATGCGGAAGACTGCGCTGAACAACACTTCGAAAACTCTCAGATACACACTAGTGAACACCGACACATGTGGATTGTGATGAGTCACGTCAGGTCAAAGGGGTGAAGGTGAGTTTTGGATTGACACGTCTGTCTATATCAATGACTGAATATGCCACATCAATGGAGAAAACGGGGCAAGAACGACCTTATTGTTCTGCTAGATATGCGCCATTATGTCTTAATTCGTATAACCTTTAAACGGCAAAATGTACTTCCTAAGTTTGAGCTTGTCCCGTCTGACCTAGGACCTGACCTGATTCTACAAAACCACCAAAACGATGTCAACGCGCGCTCAAATGAGGGTCAATTTATCCCCACAGTTCTTTTTTTGCGGTGTTCGAATGGTTTCCGAGTGGCGCGCTGTAACCGCACCAAATTTTTATGAGCTGTAGAAAATTGAATAACAGGTCGTTTGGTATCAAAAATTTAGACGTACCTTGCGGGGTTGCTGACCTATCATAGGTCAAGGGCGGGTCATGGATTCAGTGGTCACAATGTCTAGGGAATCGTTTAATCTGATGCGATAACGGAGTTTTAGACGAAGTTATACAGCTTTGAGACAGTTTCTTAGACACCAGAGCAATTGGAGGAACAAATTTAATTGGCCTAGCGTCAGGTATAAAGGTCAGACCGAGGCCAAAACTAACCTGCTTTGTTGCTCTAGAGCTTGCTGCATGAGATGGTGTCTAGTGTTCATTTCGAATATCTTTATAACAGGAATCGCAGTATATATCTCTAATAGGCCTTTTGAATGTCAGAATAGGTCACTGACCTAAAATGACCCAGGTCAACATGTCGTTTTAGCAACATGCCACCCAGTGCAATAGTAATTGACGTTTATTCAAATGCCGCTCAGAGCAGTCTTGTATAATTTTGGTCAACATGACCTGCGAAAGGTAGAAAAAGGTCACTGACCTTCAATGAGTACCGGTGGCCTTTTGCTTTGAGCAGGCTCGTAGGTTCTGGGGACACTTTGGACATAAGTCTGAAGTTTGACCTTGTTTGGACCCTTTCGACCCAAACGTCATGACCTAGGATTGTTAAATTTGGACACCAGTGCGCTCACATACAGACCAGTACACCGTGTGAATTTGATGCTTCTAGCTCTCTTGATTTTTGTGATCTCAGGGGTCAAACTGACCCCCACCAGAGTGAAGGGGATTCTTCCAGCCCCCCCCCCCCTGGGCGCACGAATCGCTACTGTTAGGAACTTTAGATTTATTTTATGATGTGTTGCCGTAGTGTAAACTCGGGTGCCCATAACTTAAGCTCCGTGCTACCGATCCGAATTTACGGTTCAAAATCTATATTGGAAAACAGAGGGGCCTCTGAACTCCATCCTCCCACCCTCGCAGGGCGTGGGCTAGCAGACGGGCTCAAGGACATCACGTATAACATATTGACATTGCGTAATATGTGAAAATGATGCAATATCTTGACACGACGCAACATGTCAACATCTTCCACCAGATAAAGTGCCTGATTTTGCGGCGTGGTGGCGACAGCAGCCATCGCGCTGCGCGTGTCGCCTGGTGATCGGTGGTGTCGCGGCGACTGGACCTCATTACCGGCGTCTGTCGTGTCCGTCTCGTCCAGGTGGATGCCGAGGTCGAATACCTCAGGCTGTGGCGTGAATTCGCCACAAACGCCACCAACCTGGACTTGTCTTCACTCGACCGAACTGACCTGGTGGAGCTGTTCATGGTGCTCAAGCATGGTGGAGTTTCGATGCTGAGCGACCAAGATCTGCGTGAAGTAAGTCGAGGGTGGTCGGCAGCTGACTGGGGTTAATTGAGGGTGTTCAGTAGCTGACGAAGTAAGTCGGGAGTAGTCAGCAGCTGACTGAGGTGAGTTAAGGGTGGTCAGCAGCTGACTGAAGGGAGTCAGGGGAGGGGGGGTCAGCAGCTGCCGGAGCGAGCCAGGCACGATCAGCTGGCTGAGAGACCGAGGGCGATCAGTTGGCTGAGATGAACCGGTGAACACGCTGATATTTCGCCAGTTCTTCGATTGGATTTATTTCCGTTTTCAATGCGAATGGGGCTGGGTTGGGAATGGAGGCTTTCAGTACGAATGAAATACTAAGCACAGAACAATCGAGCCACCCTCATCAGTTGAAGTTTAAAACGTGTCTTGCTATGTGACCACACTCGATGTATATGACACAACACAAACTTCATCATGAACGGCAGCATGAACAACTTGCCACTCACACACATGACATAGTCTTGTTCGCGTTCAGCGAAGTGTCTCATGTGACATATCATATCAAGTCCAGCCTCTGATAACCTCAACGGCCTGCACGAATGCGTTGCTTAAAGGTCCCTGCTACCACAGGCATGCTGCGGTTGAGCTCTGTATAGCTGACTTATGCTCGGCGACTGCCTCTGATGCTGCGCTGTGACCGGAAGGAGGACCAGTAAAACGCTGCCCATGTTTGGCTTCGATCATTGTTCCCAATATCACGCCATCATGCTGCTCCTCAGCTGGTGACAGCCATGACCAACTTGGAGACAACCTTCGCCGGAGCCAAGATTTGCGACTACTTTGAGAAGAGCCGCTGTAATCTGAATCTGTACAAAGGTGAGCGGTGCAGAGGCTGGCCCACGGCTGGTCAGGCCGCATGTGCACCTATGGCTGGGACGGACGCATGTCTGAGATCCGACAAGCCAGGCAGGCCAGTTCGGCGTGTGTAGTTCCGCTCTTGCTGAAGGCTAAACGTCTCGGGTGAGAGCATGTCCACGCGTCCTGTTCGGCCGGGTCGATATCTGTCGCCGGTTGTGGCGAGGCGAGCAGCGTCTGACGCCCTGACTCGGCCGTGTCGCTCACCCCCCCCCCCCCCCCCGCCTCGTGTCAGACGTCTGACGCCCTGACTCGGCCGTGTCGCTCACCCCCCGCCTCGTGTCAGACGTCTGACGCCCTGACTCGGCCGTGTCGCTCACCCCCCGCCTCGGGTCAGACGTGCGTGTGAAGCTGGCCTACTCGGCCGTGTCGCTCACCCCCCGCCTCGTGTCAGACGTGCGTGTGAAGCTGGCCTCTTCCACGAATCGCAACGAGCTCCTCCACTATTGGGTCACGTGGCGCAACCAGCTGTCGCGCAACTCGCCCCGGCTCTACGGCACCTACGTCCGCCTGCTGGACGCGGCCGCCAAGCTGCACAATTGTGAGTGCTCCGACCGGGCGGGCCCGACGCACGACCGGTCCGCTACCGACCGTATTAGCAGTTGGCACCCCCATTCCATCAGAGGATAGATGGTGTATCTGCGACGTTCGAGGGACGCCCGTGTCACGGTTTTAAACTAGGCGAAGGTGGTTTGCGCTGTGTTACGGTGCCCGTGCGGTGTTCTTGGAATGTGGAGAGATTATGTCCTCAGGGATGGACTCGCACTGCGCTTCGCGGTTTCCTTTTGGGACATGAAGCTCATTAAGTGAATAAAATATGGTCCCGTTTTAATTTCATACTCATAAATCGTAAATATACAAAATGTGCTGTAAATATCCAAAATGTGCTGCGCTTGAAATCACTCCTCTATTTCACAATGACGCGAGGAGGGAGATGGCACAATGACACAATGACGTGTGCACACTAGCACCATGAAGGTCACCCGTCTGGTCGTCTGTGGCCGGTGACCGCACCTCCGTTGTCCTCACAGCCAAATCGAACGCCTGGGACCTGGTCATGTACCCGTATGCGCACGGAAACATGCGTGACCTGCTCAGCCAGCTGGAGCGCATCTGGGAGAAGGAGATCTCGCCCATGTACTGGCAGTTGCACACGTACGCGCGGTACCGACTGCGCGAGCGGTATGGTTCCGATGCGGTACCAGAGCGCGGCGCGATCCCGGCGCACCTGCTGGGCAGCCTGGAGGCGGACGACTGGAGCCCGCTGGAGCACCTGCTGCAGCCCGTCGCCAACGCCAGCCGGCTCGACTTCCACCGGCGCTGCATGGACCACGTCAGTTGGCGCGACCCCGACAGAAACTAGCAGCGACGCAGCTAGGATTTCGCTCCGGAGGGGCCAAAGCGGTGCATAGGGGGCTTTTTCAGCCAACGGACCCCATTCTAACCCTATCGCGGCCCTGTTTTTACCAAGGCCTCAAAGATCATTCTTTGATGTTTTAGAAGCCTGGCCCTAGACACCTCTCTCTGGCCCCCGGAAGGGCATGGTTCCAGAGGCCCCTCCCATTGACTACGTCACTGGCCAGCAGACGTCACTGGCCAGCATCAGCCATTGACTGTCACTGGCCAGCATCCCCCATTGACTACGTCACTGGCTAGCATCATCCATTGACTACGTCACCGTCCAGCATCACACATTGACTATGTCACTGGCCAGCATCACTAATTGACTATGTCACTGGCCAGCATCACCCATTAACTATGTCACTGGCCAGCATCACTCATTGACTATGTCACTGTCCAGCATCACTCATTGACTTTGTCACTGGCCAGCATCACCCACTGACTACGTCACTGGCCAGCATCACTCATTGACTATGTCACTGGCCAGCATCACTCATTGACTATGTCACTGGCCAGCAGACGCACCTGTGCGCACACGGCGGTCGCCAGGCCCCGTAATCCAGCCCACAGAGATGGTTTCTTTTGGGACTGTTTTTTCGCCTTCCTGTCATTTTTGGCACTCGCACGTGCGTGCTTGCCGTTGATTTATCTGTTTATCACGTCTCGTTTTAAAACGGCTCAGGGTGGTGGTGGCTGTACTTGCCATAACTTATTTGCAGAACGTCGAGGTACGTGACCTGAGGAGGGCGGGCCGGCATCCTGTACACGCGACTCGGTCTGAACGGCACCCTGATTGATGACGCCATGTACTCGAAGCTGAACGTGGCTGCACCTGGCAGCGACAGCGTGCTCTTCCTGCCGCGTGTTTTGGATCGCTGCTACTCGACTTACCGCAAGCAGATAGCCATGTGAGTCTGTCGCTTTGAGCTCCGCTTTGCCGGCGTGGAAGTCTCGCGGCGGCGCTAATCTAGCAGTGTTTGCCGGAACACGCCTTTGACGTTGATCACTGGGAGGCATTGCAGTTCCAACAAACCAATCCGTCTCTTGTAGCTTCGTGATTTAACGGATGGAGTAGAAGGTGATACGTAACAGACTGACTCTTGGCTGGCTCTCGACTATCAGTCTGTATCCACGTGAAGAGCAGATTTATGAAGCGTGTCGCTCAGCCCTCACGCTTGCTTTGAAGTTGGACTGCCGCCCGTACACACTGCCGTCCGTGTCGTCATTTGAGCCGTCTTTATTCCTCGGCAGAGCGATCTACCCCACCAACACCACTCTGTCCGACTACATCGAGTTGGTGGAGCTGTCTGGCACCGTGCACAAGTTCAACGAGCGCGCCCAGTCAATGTTCGCCGACAACTTCGGCTTCCCATACAAGGACAGAGAGGGCTTCCGCGGCTACGGTAGGCCATCAGGCGAGAGCCGGCCGTACTCAGCGCGTCGACGCTCAGCGCGGCCTCCTATCTCACGCATGTCAGGCACCTGAGGTTGTGGCCTCTTGTTCGATTACTCGGTCTCGAAGGGGTTCAAGCCTGGACCAGTTGACCAGGGGCAGCAGCCCTGAAATTAAGAGATTGTAGAGATAAGCGCTGCGTTTCCGGGTTTCAGCTGAGTGCCTGTGATATCTGTGACACCTGTGGCACCTGCCACATCTGTCATACATGTCACATCTGCCACTCCTGTCACATCTGTCACATCTCTCACATCTGCTGTCACACCTGTCACACACATCGCATTTCTCGAATCTGCTGTCACACCCGTCACACCTGCCACATCTGTCACATCTGTCACACCTGCTGTCACACCTGTCGCACCGGCCACGCCTGTCGCATCTCACATCTCTCACATCTGCTGTCACACCTGCAACGCCTGTCACACCTGTCACGCATGTCACGTCTGTCACGCCTGCCTCGCCGGCGGCAGGGCTGGACCTGGCCATCGGCGGCGCTCGTGCGCTGGCCGCCGTATCGCCGCGGGGTCTCAGCAGTATGCTCGGCTTCCAGTCACTGAGCGACAACAACGGCACGCAGCTCAACCTCCAGATGGCCCACATGCTCAAGGTGGGCAGGGCGACACAGCAGGGCAGGGCGGCCCGCAGTCAGAGTACTCGCCGTGCGACTGGCTCCGTCGCACCTGTCAGCCCTTGTGACGGATGTGACAGCTCGAACCGTGCCGGACGACGCGGCCAAGCGAGCGGTCAACATCTTGACTATCTGTCGGACGGCCTGTTGTAGGGATACCCAAACATGTCATGGCTTCATGTCTTCATGTCTTTTTCGGTTTGCTCTTTGCAAGACACGCAGCGTATTGTGTGCTTGTGGTCTACCATGCGCACGTGGTCGCGTTGGCTGCTCTTGTGCAGCAATGGACGCCCCGGTCCCTACTGACTCCGTCATGCCGCACACTCTCTTCTTCACCACCGTCCGTAGTCGTGCGACTCCGTTCATATCCTAGTTTGCCTTGACCTGTCCCTGCTGACTCCGGCATGCTCACACCGCCCTGCTCATCCTGTCCGACTTGCTATGTCCTAATGACCCCGTTCTGCTGGCCCTGCCCTTCTGATCCTACCGCTCTGTCCTGCTGACCCCTCTTTGCTCCGACTTTCTCCGAGTCTCTGTGGCCATCTTGACCTGCTGACATTTTCCCGCAGACACCGACTTTCTTACCCTTTTCACACCACATCTGGTGCCCTTGCCCAGCTGGTTGTCCTGCCCGGACCATGTGCTGTTGAGCTAGGCCCGGTGCCCCTGCTGAGCGGGAGCCGTTGTCCAAGCTGAGCTGGATCCGGTGCCCCCGCTGAGCTGAACCTGGTGTCCCTGCTGAGCTGGAGCCGGTGTCCCTGCTGAGCTGGAGCCGGTGTCCTGCTGACCCGGCTCTGTGTTGCCAGCTGCTGCCGCGGATCGCCGCCTCCATGGCGGCCCTGCGCTGGCAGGCGGATGTCATGACAGGATCGGTCCCCGAGTCGGAGTACAACAGCAAATGGTGGGAGTACAAGTGAGTTGTCGACCCGTCCGCGCCACACCTCCAGCATCGACGGCTGTCAGCGCGCACTTGTTGGCTCCTGACACCGTCACCAGACAGTGGTGCACATGTCCGCTGTCCAGGGACGGCCGCGGGATGGACGCTGTGAGCGCAAAGTCAACTGACCGTGGATGGGCGCGCGCGAGGGATGGGCGCGTGTGAGCGGGTGGGCACCGGAGCCCGGCGTGTTTTCAGTGTCGGTGTAACCGTATGCCGGGCTGGACAGGAAGGTGTACCAGGGCGTCTCGCCGCCCGAGGCCAGGGACGAGACGCACTTTGACGCCTTCGCGGACGGCACCCTGACGCTGCCCAGCTACCACATCAGGTGAGTGGCGGCCGGTCGACGTCCAGCCGCGCAGACGGACCGCCACGGCTGCCCGGCCGGCGAGCTCGTCATGAGAGAGCCACGCTGCGTCTGGCCGGATATACCGTGATCGCTTGTTCGTGACATGGCGGCCGATTTCACAAGAAAGATCGCGTGATCCCCTCTCGCGTGGATTTAGCGACCTGAGCGCTGCTCAGCTCTGGACACTGTATACCGACAAATTGTACGCGACAAGACAGATCAGTAGGCTGGCGGTCCCACAACATTCACCGTCTCCGTTTCCTTTGAGCATACCTGGTGCGGTGGTTTGCTCCTTCACCACATACAATATGTACTTCAGACAATTGTAAGCAAAGCGTGCGTCAAGGACCTTGGAAATGGTTACATTGAAGGCAGTGTTCCACATGTGTATGTGGTTTTGAACTGGAACATCCATCTTGAAAACCACTCGGTACAGTTTACTTCCCTGCCCTTCTTAAAACCTAAAACCTTCTAGTTTCCAAACTACACGCCCGTGAAGACGTGTGGGCCATTTTGGGGAGAAGGGTTTCAGGTCACCCAGGCATCCATAACGCCAAAATAGCGTTATTTAAATCCTGACATCCCATTGGTCATGTTGCGATCAAGACAAAAAAGATTGCCGAGTCGTTGATGCCTGGCGTTCGTGAGCAGGATTTTCAGGTATAACAGCCGTCAACTGGCTCTCAATCAATGTTGTGCAAATTACGATGACGTAATCAAGCAATGACATATTGAGGAACATATTTACTAAATCGACAAATGGTGTTGTCTTGAGCGTTATTTTCTATTTAAAAGCACACCAATAGTTATAAGTGAGCTTGTTTCATCACATCTGATGTTTGTTTCGGTACCTTCAGAGTTGGAACATTCCCTTCAATGAATGTGTTATGTGTGTGTCTTTTACCTTCAAGGTGTCGCAGTTCCGTGACCACAGTCCGATAGCTGTCATGCTTGTCATGACCCAGTCACGACATGGCATTTGAATGTCGCCAGCTTGCTTCCCATCCGTTTGGCTGTTTCGATAATGTCACACGGAATGCTCGTGGGAATCTACCAGACCTGATGGCGCCGGTGGTGTAGCGGAACAGGACGCGGCACCTGTAAGCAGGGAGCGGCAGCTGGCTGTGTTCGCACCCCGCGGAGAGCGACCAAGCCTCTCCGAGCGGGCCAATCGCGTGCTGCGTACGAACCTGTCATGACGTCTTATGTTGTGCTCCAGATATATCACTGCCCGTTTTAACCGCAAGCTTGAGCAAAACTATCCCATGCCTCTAACCACTTAGGTTGAGCGGTCAGCGTGCACACAAAACGTTTGGTAAACGAGGACTCGCATCCCTATTAACTCAGACAAACATTGCCAGCGAAATATCCATGTAATTCCTCGCAAAGTTATCAGTTGGCTCGTGACTAACAGAATCCGCTTTCTAGAAGCTTAATCGCGCTGATGATTTCTACACATCCGATTTTAACAGGAACCGAGCTTGGTCATTTTCTTTTGACGTGAATGATGAGGCTGGCCTTACATCTGGCCGTAGCACCAATGTCGCGACGCACTGCGGACTGCCGCGGCCACCGCCTTACTGTGCCACCGGCTCAACTTGTCCCGATCCGCCCCTGTAGACGTTGGCTGGCCGCGGAGTTGGAGATTGGGTTCTCGGCAGAGCCCGAACCCAAAGCTAGGTCAACCTTCTCACCTACTTATTGTATGCGGTGCTCGGTCGATTCGCACTTCTTTCATTTCCCTATTGGCTGACGGCTGTCTCCGCGGGCGGAGCTGTGCAGCTGGTGGCGGACTCGCCGTCGCCGGCCTGACCCGGCGGCAGGTCAGCGTCCGGTGGCGCCGATCGTGCTGACGGTGTGGCTCGCCGTGCCGCAGGCGGCTGGTCGGCGGTCTGGCCATGTTCAGCGTGCACAAGTACCACTGCCGGATGTATGGTGACGTGAACGAGCCGCTGTCCCAATGCGCCATTCTCGATAACCTGCAGCTGGGGGTCAACATCAGGTGGGTGCTCCTGGTGTGACGTGAGCGAGCCGCTGTCCCAGTGCGCCATCCTCGATAACCTGCAGCTGGGGTTCAACATCAGGTGGGTGCTCCTGGTGTGACATGAGTGAGCCGCTGTCTCAATGCGCCATCCTGGATAACGTGCAGCTGGGGTCAACATCAGGTGGGTGCTCCTGGTGACACTGCGGCCAGACAGGCAGCCCGCTCTCTGCACCCTAGGTCACGACCTTGGCTCGTGATCAGACCAAGAGACGTGCACTCGGTGGGGACTCAACGCGCGGGGCGTCACGAGGGATCGTCCTGGACCGTAGTGGTAACGTTCGCTCTCCATCAGCACCGGATTGGGCTATTCTTACTCCGAGGACGTTAAAGTGAACTTGGATGCTCAGAGCTTGTCCCGAGTATGAATTTTGTATGTTCCGTTAGCGAGTTGCTTGGCTCCGGACTGTCTTGATCGGGGAACGAATCGGAAGATGCTGCCGGCTGAGTAGATTTACAAAACCGTGCCAAGACCTTGCCACATCCCTTAGGAAAACATTTCACAGCTAACGTCACGAACGGAACCAGTCGTCACAGAGTCAGCGCGCACGTCCAATACAGTGTCCACACACGTCTTCGATAGTAATGTTTTGGTCGGCGGCTGAAGCCATGTGCTTGAGTGAGCGGCGTAACTGCCTCGTGCGCCTCCTGCCTCGTGACGAGCGCCGGCGTGCTGTGTCTACGGCAGGAATGTGCTAGTGAAGGGAAACTCGAAGCCGTTCGGGGACCAGCTGATGCAGCTGACGGGCCAGGCCCAGCTGTCCGGCCAGGCCATGGTGGAGCAGCTGCAGCCCGTCACCGAGTGGCTGGTGCAGTTCAACAATGCCGTGAGTAGCCGCAGCTCGTCAGACGGAGGAGCATGGCGCCGGCCAATGCAGCCGTTCAACTAGCGTGGTATTGGGTTGTACTTTTGGTTTGATGCGTGCAAGTGGTGATGCACGCGCACCTGAGTGAGCAGCCGGACGTGGTTACGCTCACCGCCGACACCAGTCCCCGGCGTTATGCCGCGTCGCGTGAGCCACCGATGGCACCGCTCTGTCGACGCGATGTTGACGAGGGCGGTCCCACAGACGGACCCAAGCCGCCGGGACGGCGAGAACAACCAGACAATCGCCATCATCGTGGGCGTCGTGATCGCCGTCATCATCCTCGGCCTGGTCGTCTTCTTCATCGTGGCCAGGAGACGGCAGACCAACAAGGTACACGCGGGCCACCTTGGTCGTGAGCAACGATAGTCCAACAGATAGTGTCCTTTGTGCCACGTGTGAGTAAAAAAGACACTTTTGGTGTGGGAAAGTGCTCCATGGGTGATTTTGACAGGGTGAGCCATTTCTGAGTACTCGGGTGTTTTTCATCACCGCCGTGTGTGGGAGCGTGTTGCGTTTTTTCGAGTGTTTGCTACGCGCAAGGTGTGCCAGCGTGGGCTGACTCGCGCCTTGTCTCTAGGAGTACAAGAGCGCGCCGACAAGGGAAGTCAATACACCACAGGAGGCGTAAGGTGTCTCCGCCGCGGAGCCGGACCTACCGGCGCCCGGCGGTAGGTCCGTAGGATCAGCCGGACCTACCGGCGCCCGGCGACCAGCTGTCAGCAGATCCGGGCAGATCCGAACCGCCGCCGACAGATCCGGACCGCCGCCAGCGGAACGGGCTGCCGCTGTCGGCAGATCCGGACCGCTGTCGACAGATCAAGATTGCCGACAAGCCGGGACATCCACAGTCGTCAAACGGCCACCGCCACCAGAGCGAGACGGCAAGCCACTCGGCCTGTGTGCTGCCCCGGGGCTGACAGGCCAGCCCTCTGGCGGCTCGTCAAACGCGAGCAAACTAGATTAGCCTTGCAGTTAATTTCACCGGTACAATCCGACGCTAGTTTAAATGAGCGTGCACGTGTTTAGTTATTAGGAAGAATAGTTGCTTCACCTGTCACGTGTGGTGCTTGCTGCATGTATGTGCTTTTGTAGAATATGCTCTGTTATATCTAAGCTATGTAGCAAAATACGCTTCCTTCCCGTAATAATAATTTCATATCCTCGAAGGCGATACTATTTGGTGTACTCGGACATAGTTAGGAAACATATCGCTGTTTCCGCGACACGCATGCCGTATTTTTGCCAAAGCAATTTCAGACTGACGATGGCATCTTGTTTCAGCTATCACACAAATGTGCCGAAATGTTCCGCAAAATTGCCGTGTGTGTGTCGAAGATTTTTCACTGCAAGTTGTTTAGCTATAATAACACCATGCAATTACTAAGAACACGTTCCGTATGCTTCTAATCATTTTTCTACGTTATAGTATGAAGTGCGTCACTGTATAAATAGCATCGAAGCGTCTTACGGCTTTTAGAAAAATGAAATAAATGTTGTCCTACTCTGGTGAGTTCGGCCCGTCATATTCAACCGCAACTCAGCGTGTGCACTACTTTGGAAGGTCATGTCTTTTCATTGAAGAAGCAAAACTAGCTAAAGCAAAGCTAGGTGCGAATGTTGGCTTGTTGAGACCGTAACATTGTCAGACCTAACATGTGAAACACAGTCGGAGTTTCATGGCCACCGGGGCCATTTCACCATATCAACATGTAGTTCAACCGGCGCAGTTCATCTGAGTCTCACATGCGGCTCCATGGCGGGCAGCTGGCTCCGAATACCTCAGATCGCTCAGACTGGGTCATGGTCCACCAACCACGTGATGTCTTCTAGCCAGAGGAGTGCACTCTGGTCAGGTGACCGTCGGAGCGGAGCCGTGTGCGGGGCGGCCTGAGGTTTGCTCCTGTCCCGGCGCTGGGCGAGGGACAGCGGCCGCACCTACCAGTCAGAGCCGTGTGCGGGATGGCTTGAAGTTTGCTCCCATCCCGGCGCTGGGTGAGGGACAGCGGCTGCACCTACCAGTCAGAGCCGTGTGCGGGGCGGCCTGAGGTTTGCTCCTGTCCCGGCGCTGGGCGAGGGACAGCGGCCGCACCAACCAGTCAGAGCCGCGTGCGGGACGACCTGAGGTTTGCTCCTGTCCCGGCGCTGGGCTAGGGACAGCGGCCAAACCACCGGCTGATGACTGGCAGACCGGAGCGGGACTGGAGGAGATAAAGCGCGTGTTAAGGTCATTCTTTTCATGCACCTTCATGGACGCAACCAAACAATTCAAGACTCGGCGATGGCACTTGGTGAGGATGATGACAAGACCAGCAGCCCTCCCTGTTAGCGCCCGTCCCGGTTGCGATCACAATGATTTACATTAAGGTGTGTCATCAGAAACAAAACCAAGTGAGACAAATGATTGTTATGGCGCTGGAGCCCAAAAGTACACGGCATGGCAAACGTTCTTCCCAAAGACTTAAATTCGTGAGGCGCGATCCGATCAAAATACCGACGTAAACCGACGTCCGGCGTTGCAGTCACCCAATGCTGGGCGGCGTCCGCCGCCACAGGTAACACCAAGCCGTGGGCGGCAAGCGACACCAAATACCTTTGTGTAAAGAAATGATGCTACCGAGCGCTCCTTAAGCCGTCGTACGAGACTGCCCCGGCCTAAAGTCTATTATGCGGATCAGACATTTTGATTTGACAGACATTGCCCAATAGATTGTCTTTTGGCGAAAACTTTATGTGCTGTTGAGTATGAACTCGTACGAAATGCTGGTTAGCATTGCTTTAGACTTTCACTTCTCTAAGACAACTCACGTGATGCAAACAAAACTATGTGTAGGATATGACTCAGAATATATTGTCTGGTGTACAACCAAATACATATGGTAAGTTCTGCAGCCTGTACCACAGACGTAGAAGGAGGGGGGGGGGGGGGGAGGGGCGGTAGGATGACCCCATGCACATCTTGCTCGTCGCCGAGCCTGTGTAGTCGATGCACCGGCCCAGACAGCAACTGCTCACAGACTGGAAACCCAAAACACGTGTTGGCAGAGATCGCACGGTAGCAGAAATACCTTCGCAGCTGAGCTTCACATATTGTCGAAGCTCCAGCTCCAGCCCCAGACGTCCTCGGCAGTGCGGCGCTGCGTCGCACTCATAGCGTAAAACCAGATAGGGCAAGGTGGCCAGCGGTGCCTGCACTTTGTTCCGCAGCACGCAGTCGCTGAGGTTTCGCAGTGGGGGCTGTGTGACTGGTTCGTGCCAGGGAATCAGTTCGGTGTACCTCACGGCATCGAAGTTTATCGCTGAGATGACGAAGACCCTGGGCTGAAGAAGACCCTCAGTTTGCATCTAACGAGCGGCGCGACGATCGGAACCGCCTGTTCGCGGACCATGCGGTTTTGTCCCACACCATGTTCAGCAGCAGCTGTTCCGGACGGACCCAGTGCACGTTACGCAGGAGGACTGGCTGCCACCGTGGCCTATGTGTGCTGCGTCAGGTCGCGGAGCAGCGCGATGCTCCGGAACAAGTTGCGTAAGCCAAAGTCGCAGCCGCTGTTTCGCCGGATGGTGGACCATACCGATGCATAATGGCCGACCACGCACTGGACGAGGTTCTTGAGAGCGCTGCGGGAAGTCTCGGTAGAGGTGTGAACTAGGAGCAGACCAGCGGCCAGTGTCCGCTATCTGAACACGAAAGTGAATATGTTAGAACAATTCGCTACGGACTGTTAGAACAATTCGCTACGAACTGAGCATTAGATCATACGAAATTTATTGCGCCTCTTTAGTGTCTATAACTATGCCGATATCCAGAGTTCTCAAACGTGACGGAATACATATCAACAAATATGCTAGTCAGCACGAACCAACCAGCAAATGATGCGACATACCAGGACACAAGGTATGATGATAAGTAAATGCTTAACAATGAGCACATGAAATCTCGATTGATACTTGATCGACTTTAAGCACTCATTGCTATAAACTCGAGGATAGCGCGTTTTCATGTTTACCTCACATGGTTCAATGGCCCGATTCCCCGCTGGGCCGCCACGTTTCGGACAAAGCAGTTTTGAACGCCGGAGGCCAGAAAGTACAGCAGCTGCTGGTTGATGCCCAGCTGCTGAATTAGGTTGACTGGCAAGTTTGGCACGCGCCCTGACCTAGGCGTGAGTGCCACAACGCCCCTCTCCCAGACCTCTCTAGCACAGGTCTTGTCGATGTGTCTAGAAAAAAAAATTCGATCCCGTGGTCGTGCCGTCCAAGCTCAGCAGCAGATGGGGGAGGTTTAGCTCGTTGCCACGCAGCTGGCAGATGAGCCAGTGTACGGGTGACTCGGTGGCCAGCTCAATCAGCCGGAACACGTCGCCTATCGTTTCGGTGTTGATCTACGATATTTGGTTTCAAGTAGCCAGTCCATCTCTGCTGTCTTGTTGAAAGGCGATGATAGCAACAACGACCTGCTTCGAGCCACCGTAGCTGTCAACCGCCAGAGCGGTGTTAGTCATATCGTTAACGTTATAATCTACAGCGGCAGTGGTCTCAACCGAAACGAACAATCGGCGTCGTCACCATCTTCCACCATGTACGGAACCGTGAATGAATGCATGAATCCGTGCTCTCAGCTGCCCCGCCAGCGCTGAGACCGCTTGGTCCCGGAGCAGGCTCGGGGTCAACACTAGCAGCCATCGCTGGCTCAGTAGGCGGCGCGGGGTCAGCAATCGGCGGGGAAGGCGACTCAGGCTCAGCAGCAGACACCGCCTCATTGGCGGCCGAGCCACGACGCCCCCGGAGTTGTCTGGCCATCCTCGGCACCTCGCGGGCCTCCCTAGTCACAGCCGTATCCCGATCATATGGCCCCAGGGTAAGCTTCTGGTGCCTGCACTGGTCCTCCATGGCAACCTCCTCCTGATACGTTGTGCAGGCAACTGGGCATGGAAGGCTGCACTGAGGCTTGCACTGGCATTTCACGACATCAAGAAGCTTGTTGAATTTCGCGGTGGCGGCGTTTCTGTGTCACTCTCTTTCTTTGATTTCTTGTTGATAGCTGTCGGGATGATATCAATCCCTGTCGATAAATTTTGTCACGTATTTTAGATCATGAATAAGGATCGCCTCGTTGGTCCATAGTACTCTGTTTTCTAACATCGCGGTCTTGAAGATGGTATTAATGAGATCACTCTTCGATTCGCTCAGTTACCTGATGTAGCTCAAGGCTTTCTCGCAGTCGGCAGCTGGTGGTAGGACAGTAGAGCCGGGTGGCCTGTCACAAAATGCTTTGTGCGCGACCGTGTAGCCTTCGACATGCTCATGTAAGTAATTGTTCAAAAGAAATGTTTCAGTACCGGCAAAGCTAAGCTAATAAGCCCATATCTCCCACGCGAAAAGCACAAATTGCAAATCAAGGTCACAATGATGCATTAGCAACAGCAAACTTGAGCCTAACCCGGTCCGCTGGGGAATTCTCACAGCCGCACAGCTTTGGGTTTTACCGAAAATTAATTTTCTTTACTAAAAAGTTAGCTTGAAAGCTGTTTGGCGATGTTTTGCTGGTGCTATTCACGATATTATTTCATTCTTAATCTGCCTAATACCAGTAGTGTGAAAAGTGGCAGCTTTGAGGCTTGTTGGAGGATGATCCCGGTGCGTAAAATAGGTGGCACTAGTATCGAATGCGGTTTTCATGGCCTATCAAAGAAAAAGCTGCTTTCGCCTCACGAATGTCAACATCGGTGCGGTGCGACTGACTTGAATGCTTATCATTAACCCGTGTGTAAAGGGAAAACTCTGTCTCAGCTGATTCCAAGAGATTCGCCCCCTCGATGACACACCCTAATACACATTGCCAAAGAACAGATATTGAGTAGACATGTAATATGATATAACAATGATTACATGAATATGTGATATAACAGTAATAATATCATGCGATCGACATAAAATGGGTAGACAATGTTTTGATGGATAATCCATGTACTTCGCTCATCGGATAAACGCGTTTTGCGTTGGTTGATACTATTTTATTTTACTTACTATTTTAGTCAGGTAAAATTTTTAGTGAGCAGTGTATGGACAGTATATAAGTCAGGAGTATGAATTTAGTTGCCCTTAAGAAGATCAGTGTTGTTTTCAAGCCAGTAGACAAAAGCACACTCGAAGATAGCGACTTATCAGCAATAAAGTCATATGCACCACCCAGGGCGCAAACTATGACTAGCTGTGCCAGCCCGTTTTATATTTATTTGGCCAGCGTTACCTTAGTCCCCAAAAATGCATTACAGTTGGTCGCGTGACGCTTGCGAGACTGATGTTGATGTGATGAATAGCATGAAACGTTATTGCAGGTGCAGATGTCATGAATCCACATGCAATGACAATTCGACATGTATGACCTAGCCTCACATCTGGTTACCCGACTGAATTTCATATGCAATCAGACCTGGCATCACAGTCGTCGAATTTGATTATATTTACTCAAACAAAAAAGTAACATCCCGCTTTCAAATAAGCTA